AAGTGAAAGGTCCCAAGTTCAATCTCTGTAAAAAAAAAAAAAAAAAAAAAAAAACTCTATGTAGAAGCTAGAAAAATAACAGCAAAGACAATTTCAAAATACGCAAGCTTCTTCTGACTTTAGTTTGGAATTTCACTCACAGTAATATTTGTTTTATTACAAAAGTTTACTGTGAGATAATCTTCAAAGTGTTCCTAAATTGTCCCATAGTATTTGGTAACATGATTCATTGATTCCAACTACACAGTAAAGCATTGTATATTTTCTACAGACAGGGGTACTCCAGTATAATCGTAATATGACCATCAAAATCAGCAAATTATATTAGCAGTCAGGTTAATGCTCTTAAATCTTAAGACTCATGTTTAGTCTTCATGTTTTCCTACTTCATTTTTTTTTTTTTTTTTTTTTTTTTTTGGAGTCTCACTATATGCAGTTCAGGCTGGCCTTGAACTCGCTGTGTAGCCTAGGCTGGCCTCAAACTCACAGCAATCCTCCTGCCTCAGCTTCCTGAGTGCTGGGATTATAGGTGTGCACTACTACACCTTAGAACCACACCTTCTTCTTTAGTCTCCATCAGTTGTAATGGTTTCTCAGACTTTACGTGACTGTTATAACCTTGACAGCTTTAAGGATTGCAAGCTGCTTGTTTTGTAGAATATCCTTGCATATGGTTTTGTCTGATGTTTCCTCTTGGTTAGATTGAAGTCATGCTTCTTTGGCAGGAATAACACAAAAGCAGTGCTGTATCGTTGCATTTAGTCAGGTGCCTCATGGATTCACCTTGTCCCATTATTGATAATGTTCCATTTGATCATTTTATTAAGATATCTGTCAGCCTTCTCTCCTAAAAAGTTGACCTTATATGTATTTCATGATAGGAATTTTCACATTTCATTTGCATGTGGTGTTTCCCATCCAATGCTGAATTTATTCATTTATGTCAGTATGAGCTCAGTGGTGTCCTGTATATTGCAGTGGTTGTTTATTCTCTTTATTTTGATACTCAGAGTGTCCCAAATTAGCTAGTGGGAGCCCCTTCAGTCAGGCTTCTTGTCCTTTTGTCGTGTCTCCAGGCTTTTTCAAGTTCTTCCTTGCTTCTGCCACAAGAGGGTCTAGGCTCATCTTCTGCCTCAATCCTGCTATCAACCATTTCTCTAAAAGTCTTACTTCCCTTTAGATGGAGAATCTATGTACTACATTGAAATTGAAATCATAAACTCAGACTAGTACTTTTGATTCTTACCAGTGCTACAAGGTTCATTGTAGTTCTTTCCCTGTCCATAGTTTTGACTCCTTTTCCATTTGTAACTCTCTTATCTGTAATATATTTAACTATTTTTAATCAATCCTCTATATATAAATGAGGTCCCATCACCACTGCCCTCCCAGGCCCAGGCTTCCTTGCCAGCCACCACTCTTAACCTGATTTAGGCTCAGACTCTGTTCTAGGTCCCTGCGGCCCCTGCTCCACTCTCATTCAGCACAGCCACACCCAATGGCTTAGGACTGAATTGCTCTGGAAGGAGAAGAAAGGTTTTTAATACTTACTTATGGTGCTTACACATATCATAGAATTTAATTTGGACTTGTGTTATTGTTTTGTGAATATGTTTCTGAAAGAATTTCTTGGAAACTGAAACAACTTCCTCCACATTTTGTGCCCTACCCACACACAGTTATTATAATAGCACTGATTATATGTCAGGTATTCAAGTACCTGTGGTAGAATGACATTTTTGGTGTCTCTTTAAGAGCTGGAGAAGGATCGGCATCGAAGCATTGGAAAGCCTTTACTTGGGGGACCATTTTCCCTTACAACCCATATTGGAGAGCCTAAAACTGACAAGGACTACCTGGGTCAGTGGGTGTTGATTTACTTTGGTTTCACTCATTGCCCTGATATCTGTCCAGAAGAACTGGAAAAAATGATTCAAGTTGTGGATGAAATAGGTAAGAAAGGCATTACTAACTCCCCACTGTTTGTTTTTATTTCCTGTTACTACATTTTCACGTTCCTGTATTACGTTGGGGGTATAATTATTTGGTATGTAAAAATATACAATCTCAACATTCAGCTTGTTTGTTGTTTTAATTGCGTGACCTGACTCTCCACCAAAGAAAGCTTATTTTGATATTAAATGTTAGGTCGCTTTTAAAATGTTGGGATGGCCAGGGTCTCCCTAAACTTTGCTTTTGTGTTCCTTTTTTATGGTTTTCCCATTGCCTTTTTTCTGGTGATAGTTAGATTAGGAAATCTATAATGATACATAGTCAGTGGTGCAGTATTTTATTAGCGTTGATTTAAACAATCTTAAATTGTTTCAGAATTCACTCCTTTTAAATAATTTACCTTGAGTCATGGTAGAGAATAAATTATAGATTTTAAGTTAGATTGGATTAGAAAATATAGCCAGGGTAACATTTATATTCCACCACAGGCATTTCAAGAGTTAAATATCCACTTATACTCTTTCCTGTCCTCTCCATTCAAATGTTAGATTTCCCTGTGTTTCCTTAATAGTGCACTGTACCTGGCATGTAAAGGTACAAGATCCCAGTAATGAATGTAATTGTACTGTCTACCTAGAATGTACCAATAAGTTAAATTTTAAAAAAAATAGTGCACTGTAGCACTTAATACCCTCTCCTGCCATTGTTGATTTTCTTTGTCTTTTGAATACTGACTAATTGGAATTTTCTTTCAGATAGTATTCCAACTCTGCCAAATTTAACTCCACTTTTCATCACCATTGATCCAGAAAGGGACACAAAAGAAGCCATTGCAAATTATGTAAAAGGTATATTACAAATAATACTTTACATGAGTTTAGCTCTTGCGGTTTTTGAAATACCAACTCACTTGAACCTTATCATGCCTTGTGAAATAGGCAGAACAAACGGGCTGATTTTACAGGCAAATAAATGGAGGATGCTCAGTTTTGGCTGTGGCTAGTCGGTACATAAATGAGAAAATGGTTTCTCAGTTCCTTGTGTAGCGCTCTTTTTTTACCACAGAGGAGGAATTTGGACTTGAGCTTCACGTCAACTAGTTAATAGAGCTTGACTTAGGAGTAAAGACATACTGCTTCTAATTCTAGTTCTGTACTTCATTCTCTTGGTAAAATTAGGATAAACACACATTCTGTGAAGCCAAAACATATATTGTGACAGAAATTCCTTCACAATTTTTAATGTACAAATTTTAATTCAAATATCTCTACAGGCAGATTAAAATCTACTGGTTAATTGTATTGACTGTAGGTTGTACTAGGATTGATGGTGAGTCCTCAGATTCTAGTTTATCTGTGAGGTTAGGCAAGTTTACTTTCTGTAAACTCAAGCCTTTTTAGTGTAGGTGCTTAAAAATCAGCAATTTGAATTTCAATTATTGTGAAATTGATTTAATGACTGATCAGAAAAAGTAATGCCTACTTTTATGACACATTGAAATGCATATCCTGTAGAATTTTGAGATGTTAAAATTTGTTTTGTGAAGTGTCTGTTATGTATTGTTATTTTTAATAGATATTGAGGTATAATGGGCATATAATAAAAAGTACACATTTAGAGTATACAGTTTGTCACCTTGGGATGTGGGTATGCACCTGTGAAACCACTAGCACAGCCAAGAAAATGAAAGTGGCAGGACTAGAACTGTGGCTTAGTGGTGGAGCACTCACCTAGTACACTTAAAGTGCTGGATTCAGTCCCCAACCCTGGAAGAGAGAGTAAAAGAAGGCAGGAGGGAGGAGACAAGGAGAGAGGAAGAAAGAGGAATAGAACTTTATTTTTTGAGACGGGGTTTCCCTGTGTGGCTCAGGCTAGTCTTAAACCTTATGCATGCTAAGCCTCCCAAGCTGGGATTACAGGTGTGGGCCACCATGCCTGGCCCTTCGATCCCTTTCTAATCCTATACCCCAGTTCCCTTTTCTGCCTCCCATCTACAGGCAATCATTAAACTGCTTTTGTCAAAATAAGCTAATTTGCATTCCACAAGTTTATGTGAATATATATAATTTTTTTAGAAAACTTTTGAGAATTATCCATGTTGTAGCATGTATCATAGTCTGTTCATTTTTATTGCTGAGTCCTAGTCCATTGGTAAACATTGCGGTTTTTCTCTAGCTTTTGGCTATTGCAGATGGCATTCATGTACAAATCTTCGTGTGGACACATGTTTTCGTTTTTCCTGAGTTTTTCCATGTGGAATGGCTTGGTCAGGCAGTATGTTTTGCTTTGGAAGAAACTGATAAACTCTTTTCTAAGGTAGTTGTACATTTTTACATCCTTGGCCAGCGGTGGTGAGAGTTCCAGTTTCTGTACATCCTGACCATACTTGCTATTGGCAATCTTTTTAATTGTAGCCACTCTAGTAGACTTGTTGTGGTATTTCATTACGATTTTATTAATTTCTGTAATGAATAATTAACACTAGACACCTTCATTCTCTTGTTATCTGTATGTCCTTGAAGTGTCTGCTCACATCTTTTCCCTATGTTTTACGAGCTTGTTTAAGTCCAAATATATTAGTTTATTCTTTTATATATAGTGCTTTTTGTTTAATATATGAGAAATCTTTGCCTAACACAAGATTACAAGGGTTATGTTTTCTCTTTAAAGTTTATAGTCTTACTTATATATTTGTTTAAATATAATTTATGCCCACATTTTGCAAGTTTGTCAGAAATTTGAGCAATAACAGTTTTTTTCATTTATGAAAAATATATAAATATACTTATTGGGTAATACATTTAAATCTGTTATATTGGCTGTTATTTTTATCATATATTAACTGAACCATAATAACCCCAAATGAGTAGACATGTAAATTGTCATACCTAATTGAAACATCAAAACCTTATAATAATTTTCTTCAACAGCACACACATGCATTACTAATTCCGTTTTTAGGTGCAAGAGTGAAAATTTTTAAGTTAGTGTTTAAGAAAATATTGCAGTTTCAGGAATTCAGTTAAAAAAATGTTTGGATGTGTAGTTAATGCAGGCTTCACCCTTATTATTTACTGGAGCAAGCAGAAAAGAAGGACAAGCCAGCCTGCTTTCTTCAGTACCTGAATAATTTAGACCTAATTTAAAATGAATTAGTCAAGGAACAAAGGCTTTTATACCTTTGGAAGAAAGGGGTGCTGTCAGATGTTGAGCTGGCATCTCAGTAACCTCCAGAGTCCAGTTTTTGAAGTTACTTCTACTGGGCCACTTATGTACATTCCAGCAGCTTAACAGTGCATGCACACTGTGAGTGATTTACCCTCGGCCCTGGACTTTGTTGTTGTTGTTGTTGTTTTGGAGTGATGAATATTAATTGTTCGGTTCCTTATCGAAGGTGAAAGTAGAACCTGTTAATTGTATTGAGATTATTTGCTAGAAAATACGATGCAGATAATTTGGTGTGGTGTGATATGATCTTAATTGTGAAACAAACATTTTTTGTAATGTAGTGAACAACTGTAGTATGTAATTCATGATAATAGTTTTCGACTTGATTGTATCTCAACTACATGTATTTTGTAAACTAATTAAAAGTGTGATTTAAACAACTAAAATGTATTCTCTCCAGATCTTTACTAGACAGTCATAAAAAGATTGACATATAGTATGTTACAAAGGAGAATTTTCCTTTGTTCTTTGTTTTTTGTTTTGTTTTGCTCTAGTTTGGTTTTCTGAGACAGGGTCTCAGTATGTAGTTCAGGCTGGCCTTGAACTCACTGTATAGCCCAGGCTGGCCTCAAACCCACACTGATCCCTCTGCCTGAGCCTCCCAGGGGCTGAGGTGACAGCCATGGGCCACCACCATCAGCTCAGTTTGTTCTTTGTGAATTTCTTTTCCTTTGAATAATGAAGAAATTTTTAAGGAGGTTTTCTGAGACAGGGTCTCAGTATGTAGTTCAGGCTGGCCTTGAACTCACTGTATAGCCCAGGCTGGCCTCAAACCCACACTGATCCCTCTGCCTGAGCCTCCCAGGGGCTGAGGTGACAGCCATGGGCCACCACCATCAGCTCAGTTTGTTCTTTGTGAATTTCTTTTCCTTTGAATAATGAAGAAATTTTTAAGGACTCAGAAGAAAAATAATTAGGGCTGCTTTATGACAGGTGTTGTTTTTTTTTTTTTTTTTTTTTTTTTTGGTAAAGATGGCTATATTTCATGCTTCTTTTTTT